ACACACACACACACACACACACACACACACACACACACACACACACACACACACACACACACACACACACACACACATACAGACGTACGGACATCATCGTAAAAATAGTCAGGGAAGTTTCCTGTGACCTTCAAACGTCGAGATCTGATGAAAACTCGATTTTTGTTAAACGGGGTGAAAACAATGGGCGTGTTTGGCCGAAGTAAGTACTTACTAAACTTAGTAAGCCAGTTAGCATAAAAAAATTTAAATCTTACAAGCTATGACTATAGCGCTTTTCGGCCGGAACAGACTTACAGGCTTAGCATATAATACAAAATACCGACTTACGTTATATTCCGTACATAATCTCATAGTCTGAATATAATTGACACTGATAAATTTATTAATATAGTTTAATTCAAGTAAATAGTTGTAAATGGACAATTTTATGAGAAATATTTAATTGGAAGAAAAGTTAAACAACCCCTTAATCAACATAACATTTAAACTATAGATTGAGTATGAACAAAAATGATTACTATTTCTCTTATATTAAGAATAAGTAATATAAATTTTAATGATTATTGAAACAAACAGTCAATAGAGTAATTGCATGAATTTAAAAAATATACATTTCTTTTCTGTCTTGTCATACTCATAGATCTCTTCTTTTAAATGATATTTGTGAAACTTGTCATAAGTTATAATACTATCAACAATTGTTTGCTTGTATTAACTGCTTATATTAATTGTTATCAAATATACTTAACTATCTATAACAATAGATATTTAACGTCAGTCATTTTTTCTAATTAAATAAGCAGTCTCTCTTAATCGAATTATCTATACATTTGTTATAAAAGATATAAAAAAATTAATTAAAATCAGAACTACACTGTGTAAGTATAAAAAATTCACATTAATTTAAAGTATAGTTTTGTAACATCTCATATAATCTTATGAAAAAGATCTTTTCAAGTACCTCTTAAAGCTTTCTATCAAAGAAAGTAATTAAATATCTTATTGCATAGAATAACCAATATAAATTCAATTCTATATGCTTCGGTCTGTTTTGTTTACATCAATAATAAACGAAAAATCGTCTTATATTAAGCCATGCTTACTGCGTTAGCACTTATTTTCTGTCCCGGCCGAAAATTTAGTATAGTAAAAGTATAGTAAGTGACTTACTAAATTTAGTAAGTACTTACTTCGGCCAAACACGCCCAATAACTTCCCGATTTTTGAAAATCTGAGATTTTTAGCGGGAAGTTAAAAATATAAATAATTATAAGATTATTGATATATTTAAAAATTTTTCTAAAGATCCCAATAAATTTCATAAAAAATTAGTACTCTAGCGTACCGCATGAACGTCCTTATATAGATATAAATGAGTCAGAAAAACGATTATTACACGGTATCTTAATTAACAAATATTTATCCGTTACCTTTAGCTTGAAAGTTAAAAAAATCATGAACGATTACCAGAAATTTAGATTTCGACTTGAAATTTTCAGAATGTATATAATTATTAATCTTAAAAATAATAGAATAACGAGTAAAAAGATTAGAAACCAACAAAAATCAATCTTGACAATTTTCATAATTTTTTAATATCTTGAATAGCCTTTATAAATTTTTTTATATCGAGCTGATCATTGAATAGGGTTTAGAACATATGATAAACTAACACATCTTTCTAAACGACATGAAACAAAAAATTGTTAGTTCTTTTGCGCTATCCTAGTAAGGTGTATGAAGAATAATATCTTACGCATGTAAAGATTATTTATTAACAAAAATTACATAGAATAATAACACTCCAATGTGGCACGTGTAATCATGAATAATGAAAAAAATATGATTCTAAATTCATAACGGCTTATAAACCCATACACGATCGACTCCATGTCCAATTGTTTTGACAGGCACTAAATTTGGTAGAGGAAATCGACAAACAACGATTGTACAGTCCTTCTTCAATTCTGCAATAAATTTACTTTCGATTTCTTGCATCTATTCAAAAGTTTACGATTAAATTTAAGTTGTTTCAGCTAAATTTATATTGTGTAAGTATAATATCGAAACCAAATTTATTTACCATCGATTGTACTCCGAATAATACTACATTATCATATTTACTCAAATTTAAGTTCCAAAGATTCTCTCTATAAAATACAGCTTTTGAAGAAAGTCCTTGGGAATAAGCCAGAAGTTTAGAGTATGTCACTAACCAGAAGTTTAGTTCTACTCCATAAGCATTAAAATTATTCTTAGCTGCTGCTAAAACCTATTTAAGAGTTTGTAATAATTAAAAATAAAGTGCAGATATTTAGTATACTATCAAATGAATTATTGTGCTAGGTATACCAAACGACCATCACCGCTTCCTAAATCAATAACAGTTCCAGATCTTCCCCGCAAAGCTAGTAAAACATTTTTTAATTGCTGGTTAGTAGCAGGAACATAAGGCAAACATATTTTTCTTAATGCTGGACTAACAAAGGGAATACTGATCACAGTTAGTCCCAAACCGATTCCACCTGAAATTGAAGTTGGTATTAATCAAATGTGAAAATCAATTGTCTGTTTTAATTTTTCTTAAAATGTTTCGGAGAATTTGAAAATATTATACCGGGTGAAAAAAAAAAATTATTGAAACTTATTAAGTTTTATTAAATTGAATTTTCAAGAAGAAAATAAAATTTCCAAAATAAAAAATGTATATTATTTTAGCAATTTATTAAAGGCCAAAAAAATTTTAATTTTATTGATTAAGAAAGAAATTGCAGATGTCTGATTTACATGGAATCTCTTTGCTGTTGAAGTAGCTTTTATTACATTGAGTTAACAAACACACATTTCATTTATAAATTTTGTGATTAGAATGTGTTTTTAAAGTTTAAAAAACAAATAACGATAAATTTGTGATTAAAACATGAGGCATGAGTTGCGATTATACGACAAACCTTACCTGTAATGCCAATTAGCACTAAGCCTGCTTTAGATGTTGGGCGCGAAATTTGATTGGTTATGTTATTGTTTTGTACTTCAAGTAATTCTTCCATAATAAAAAAAAAAGATACAAACGTTCGATTAAATCTTGCTTAAATAATTTGTACAAGTATTAATCTTCTGTTATTGAAGAACGAGTTCATCTAACAAAATATCCAATACAAACGAATTAATTAAATTTATGTAATATTATTTAGCAATAATATGTGTTAATATTAGAGCAACTGCAGATTTACATACTTTTTTTGCTTGACAACTGCATTAAAGGTTAGACATGGAAATTATATGAGAAAAATACCTTGATTTCTACTAGTTGGTAATTATATGGTAAGGTAGAAAAGTAAAAATTTAATCACAAAATTTTTTAGCTTTTATATTATTATTTAAAAAATAAATCAGCACGTCAAAAATATAATATAAAAAATTTCGTCCATAGTTTTTAAAAATTTTACATGGAGTTTTTTTTTATTTTCTACACAATAATAATTAATTTTTTAAAACAATCTTATAAACCTTGATCAAAATGCTCAATCGCACGGTTTGAAGAATTTTTATTTAAATTTGTTTGAAAAGTAAACAAAAAAATAAAATTTCAAAAAATACATTTACTACTGTACTTATATCCTTAAAATTACTTCAAGGCTAGTGAATGTCAAAAACATTTTTCTGAGTAATACATATATCTAATAACTTGGAAAATTTTGATGATATAGAAAAAGAAGAGAACTTTCGAAACTGAAGAGTACTCTTTATTATTATTAGTTATCGTCATTAGCTATACGTTGAGTCAAAAATATCGATTGAAAAATTTGCAAAAACCGGGCCACGATTCATTATTGGTTAAAATTAAGGCGCGTGCGTAGCATGGTATTCAAATTTCTAGTTTTAGTTAAATTTAGATTTCCTTTGCGCGCAAATCTATTATTTTATTATTCAATAGGTTACAAAATAAAAGTACCGACAATAATTTGAAGAGAAAACGAATTCGCGTGACGTACTAGAGTCTTACGTTTCGATGAATCCCTGGTTCCTCGGTTTGCGACTCTCTTGGTTGCTATGTTCATGTTTTTAGAGTGGGAGAGTCCCAGAGAGTAATGAGGGTAGTTGCGTGCACTTCTGAAATTCTCGTCCTCAACTAGCATACCCTTTTGGTGTGACAAAATGGGACCATCCTGAAATGATGTCACGAAGCCCCTTGAAATTTCCAGGTTACATGCAACCCGCATGGATGTCTGGTTTTTATGACTTAGTCTTGGGTACCTACTCGAGTATAATTCCTTTTTTTTTGGCGAACGTTTTGGAACGTCCCGCTGCGCTAAACGAAAATGCCGCTTTCCGCCTCCGTCGAGGAGAATATTATATTACACACCTAGGGAAGTGAAGTAAGAAATCTCAGATCACATGTAATCAACAAACATGTGATCTGAGGCTTTCTTATTTACTTCCCGAGGAGTGTATACTATTTTTTTGCTCGACGAAGGCAGGAAGTGGCAACTTTGTTTAGCACAGCGAGCCGAAAGTTGACGCTTTCTACCCGTTGGGCAAAAAAAATAGTATACACACCATCGGCAGTAAATAAGAAAGCCTCAGATCACATGTTTATTGTCCTCGGCTTCGCCTCGGACAACAATTACATATGATTTGAGACATTTCTTACTTTACTGCCCTTGGCATGTAATATACTAATGTCTATAAATATTAATAAACGAAAATCTCTGGATTTTTCCCAGTATTGTACAGAGTATTTCAAAACGTTCGGTATCTTATTATAAGTGACCATTACAATGTGCAATAAAATTTTATCTTAGTTTATTATTTATTATTATAGATGTCTGGAGTTTTCTGACATCTCAATCAGTTTTTCCCAATCTTTGGAAATTTTTACATACTTTTCCCCGGATATTTCCTACTTTTATAGATTATATAAATTATTTCATCGTGTTTTTCGAATTTTCCCGCTTGCGTCGATTTTTTATTACTATTGTTATTATATCATTAAGTTATTTGGTTTTATTTATAGAGAGCGTTGCGATCAGCCCCATGGTACATACACAACAGCGGGTGCCAGAAACTCCACTCAAATTTTTTCATTCGAAAATACAAAATCTACAAAGTCATAAATATCCGAAATGAAAATTATTCGAAATTAACAATATTTAAAATTAATTATAGACAAAAGAATAATAAAATGAAACAGACGAAAATTTATTAATGAAATCTAGTCGAAATAACACTCGTCAAAGAGCGATCTATACGAACGATAAATTGTTCGAAAGTTTATGGTAACTTACCATGAACTTTCGAACAATTTATCATTCGTATATATCGCTCTTTGACTAGTGTTACTTCGACCAGATTTCATAAATAAATTTTCGTCTGTTTCATTTTATTATTCTTTTGTCTATAATTAATTTTAAATATTGTTAATTTCGAATAATTTTCATTTCGGATATTTATGACTTTGCAGATTTTGTATTTTCGAATGAAAATAATTTGAGTGGAGTTTCTGGCACCCGACTTAATCGAATAAAAAATTGAACATTTCTACTAGGGATCAGGCAGAAAGTTTCATTTAATCCGTAAAATTTTATGACATTCTATAAAGTTTCATAAAATCTTCTTCCCCAGAATACTCAAATATAAATAAATTAATTAAAATTGAGTAGCCAATTTACGTGATTTAGACTAGTGAGCAACGTATGAGACTAAGGACCAGAGGACCCAAGTTGGATCCCAGCACACACCCAGGATTTTGTCGTTAAATACCAACCCTTGGATTACGCTCGGAACGACGAATCACTTTTCAGAATCATTCATGATCCCAGATTCCCAAAATTCTTAATTATTTAACAAAAAAATTTTGCACGACTCATGATGCGAAGCATCAGAGAGTGCTTTACGATCGAAAAATTTTTTTCGCCCCATTTTGGCAACTATTTTTAGTATTATAGCCTTGTTAGTTAACGGAATCAAGATATTTTGCATACTATTCTCGAGATAATTTAATAGAGATTAATTCCATACTTGCTAAAAATTAATTTAGGGGTCGTTCATAAAATACGTTCGTACTTAGGGGGGAGGGAGGGGGGTGTTGTCAAGTGTAACCATACATGTTAAGAAGATGGGAAAAAGCGTGACGAAGGGGGGGGGGAGGGGGTCCAAAATACCGATATTTTGCGTGACGTAATTTATGAATGGCCCCTTAGTGCAATAGAAACGGAAAAAAATATCAAAATAGGTCAAAAAATTTTCCTGTCCGTCATGTATGAAACTCCGGAAACACTGTAACTTGTGAAAAATCCATTATTTGAGTTAAATTTTTTTTTT